CAAAAATATGACTAAAACATCATCAGATTTTCATACAAGTCGTATAAGTAGATAAAGAGAACTAAATTAAACGGATGAGACGCAAACATGAGTGGCAAAAGTACAGTTGAAACCAGAAGTTTACACAAACTGTTTAAAAAGAAACTTCTGACTTTGAAGAAGGTCGTAAAAAGTTCTCATTATTCTGGCATTTAGCAAATAGAAATAATTTTTGTCATCCTAACTGACCTAAAACAGGAAAAGTCTGATTTAATGTCAGATAGTGAAAGAAAAAACAAAAGGTTATATCTTTTTATGCAGTGTATGTAAAGTTCTGGTTTCAACTGTATGTAAACCTTTGCTTTGGGTCTCTGCTGTGACCCCGTCTATGCTAACAGTTCATCAACTTCCACTCCTCCATACAGAACGGTTTAAACTAGGAGATGTGGGTTTCCTCACGTGAACTTCTCGCTTCAGGTCCTTCCATAGCATTTCTATTGGATTAAGGTCAGAACTTTGACTTGGCCATTCCAAAACATTAACTTTATTCTTCTTTCTTCTCTGGTAGAACCACTTGTGCTGTTTGAGGTTGTTGTCTTTCTGCTTGACCCACTTTCTCTTGAGATTCAGTTCACGGACAGATGTCTTGACATTTTCGCTGGTGTAATTCAGAGTTCATTGTTCCATCAGTAATGACGGATGCAGCCAAACAGGCCCAGACCTTGATGCTACCACCACCATGTTTCACAGATGGGATACGGTTGTTGTTGTTTTTTTTGTTGTTGTTGTTTTCCAGACGTAACGCTTCTCATTTGAGCCAAAAGATCTTTTTCTTGGTCTCGTTTATTCATAAATCTTATTCCAACAGCCTTCTGGCTTGTCTGTGTGTTCTTTTTTGGAGAGAAGTGGCTTTCTCCTCACAGACGGTTGGATTCATGAACATCACATTAGCATGGGTCTTTCACATGCTTAGAAGTTACCCTTGGTTACTTTGTGACCCCAACAACTGTCAAACGTCTTGCTTTTGGCGTGAACTTTGTAGGTCGACCACTTCTTGGGAGGTAACAGTGGTCGTGAATTTTCCCCATTTGTACAAAACCTGTAAATTCTTTAAAGTCTAAATTCTCTATTAAGATTGTGTTTTTTTGTTTTTTTTCTCTGAGGTCCTCTCTTTGTTCGTACCATGAAACACTTCCCAAAAATAGTGAG